CAAGCCCTTTATTTCTTAAAACCGCTGCAACACAAATGTTGGAAAAACTCAATCAATATATAGTTTATATATATGATGAAGCAGCTTTTATAGTTTCAGTTCTTGATCCTCGAATCAAACTTGAATTAATGCCAGTTAATATGAACATCCCTGAAAACTGTGACTTTTTTAATCATATTTTTCAAGATTATTCGGTATCTGAACTAAATATTAATACGGTTTCAAATACTAAAAAATTGTCGAATTCGATGATATATATGGAACAAGTGGCTCAAAAACGACAGCGAGCTAATGTTTTAAGTAGTTCAAGCCCAACGGATGAACTTTCTCAATATTTAAGTGAAGCTACCTTACCAATGAGCATTAATACTTTGGAATGGTAGAAACTCAATAGTTTTCGTTTTCCGGGCATGTCACAAATAGCTAAAGACTTTCTCGCAATCCAGGCTACATCAGTGCTTTCTGAACAAATATTTTCAAAGATAGATGATACTGTTCGGGTTAAACGTGTACGTTTTTCTGAAAAAAGCATACAAGCACTAATGTGTACTGGCTCATGGTTGGAACACGGCATTAGATTTCAAAGGGATTGATTATTTTTTTTTAAAAAAATTTTTTTTAATTTTTTTTTCTTTTAAAAAAATGTTTTTTTAAAAGTTTTTTTTTTCATTCTAAAAAATTTTTTTAAAAAATTCTTTTAATTATACATTTCTATATTATGTTTTTACATGCTTGCAAATTATGAATTACAGAGGTATTTGTACGTACAGTACATGTATTTACACTAAAATAATTGAAATAAACTTTTTTTACGACGATAACGATAATAAAATTGAAGCCGTGGCTCTTGTCAGCTCGGCTAAAGAATAGCTTAGCTAAAATGCGGCTTGGCTCAAAAACAGCTCAGCTCTATTATAGTGAGATGTAGCCGAGCTAAAGCCAGCCGTTTGCATCACTACAAACGGGTAGACTCAAATGTCCTAAAACTGACCTGATTGTGATGTATTTATGATCCCCACCTAAGCTTATATTATAAAATATATTATAGCATGCAACTAGTGAGCTGATAGATCTATAAATTTATGTGTAAGCGCTTGATCTTGTTAAAGTTTACAATATTCATACAACAAAAAAAACTATTGAGTCAAATTTCATACTATGCCGAAAATTGATACTTAAAGAAAGTACATCTTCTAAAAGCATGATGAGAAATAAAAGCACTTTCTACTAGCAATAAATTAAAAATAGCTTTGATTAATAAAAGTTTATGTCGGTTTATATCATATTCTTTGTGAAATGCAAGTACCTAAAATTATATAGTTGATACAATTTACGAATTTAGTTGGTTTCCGAAGAACATTCCGAAGACAAATCAATTAAAAAATTTTTATAATAAATTTCATTAAGAAAATATTCTTTTTGCAGTAAAAGAGCCCAAACTGCCCTGAAAAATCAATAATAAGGCTTTGCGAATCATAATTATTAAATTCTTGAATTTTTGCATGACTCTAAAATTTCACAATTAATTAAATTTTTAATTTGAATTATTGATAGTCTTCTCCCTGTATGCCCTATCAAATTGATCAAGCAACAATTACTCCAAAAATATTGTGAAATAACGTGACTTACAACCTTGGAATCAGGAATATCTACTACTTTCGCATAGTGTTCTGAGTTGTTTAGTTGTCAACTATAAATACAACAAATCGATGTTTTATATCATATAGTGTATCATTATATAATTAGCTAATATAAAAAATCAATACAGATTAGCTTTACTAAAAAAAATATTATAGAATTGTACTAGTTAAATTATTAATTGATTAATTGTTTAAAATTTTTCAAAGAAATATATAAATCCTATAATGGAAAAATCGATAAGTAAACTGAATTTCAGTAAATAAAAAATTATGCATTTCAATTTCAACAAACCTCTTAAGAATTCATTATTCTGCCTCAAAAGTAGTTTTAAGTTCATGCAATTTTTTTACAATAACTCGCTTCTATCAACCGGGCAGTCGCTTCTAAGTTCTTGTTTTGTTCAGCTACTATTTTTCTAAGTTTGAGATACTCAACAATAAATCTTTCAAATATTCTTATAAAATTATAAACAGTCAGATAAATCAAATATAGTTTGACAACGAAAATGATTTATATTACTTGGGTTGTAAATTTCCTTAAGAAAGTTGAGAAGCCATAAGTAGGCGATTCAGGTTTATTATAAGGTTAACTGTTAGGCCTGAAATATCACGATTTTTTAAAAGACCTGGTGTTTTAGAATCTAAGTCGATTACACGACTCCCTTTTTTGTGATAAAATTTTTAATGCAGTAATGTGCCGAATTAAATATTTTTTCTTTTTATATTGATATAACCTAATTTCTTAAACAGTCACCAACTTGATTACAGAATTATATCACACACGATTGCCAAAGTAACAAACATAATACGTTACTTTCGTTGTTTTTAAGTTTCAATGATTTATTTTTTATTTGAAATCATTGAGTGCGGCATCGCCTCTGTTTTTGACAAGATATTTTAGCAAACTTTAAATAATTTTAATAAACTTTATACATAACGATAATAAAATAACTTGTGATCATTTACTATTAAAAAATTTTTATTATTCATTTAACACTATAAAAATTTTATTCTTCATTTAACACTTTATAAAAATTTTATTAGTTATTTTATTATTCATTTTTAATACTTTTACATTAGAAAAATTTTATTATTCATTTTTTTAACATTTTATATTAAAAACTTTATTATTTTTTATTTAAAAATATTTTACATTTAAAAAAATCTATATAAACATATAAAACGAAAATAAAAAAGAGATACTTGGTTTCAGAGAAAATTTCTTCTACTTGTCTCAACCACCGTATAGAGGTGTATCTCATTGGTTGGGAAAGCAAACCCCAACCTCATTTTTCTCATACCGGTACTTGTTGTGGCTCAGTTCCCAGCTTCGCGAGCGGGTTGTTCCCCTTGAATCATTAATTTTCGCATTTCATCAAGGTAGCTTTAACTCAATTTATCCTCTAGAGTTTGAGTATCTGTATTTCCTTTCACATTAATAAAACCTACATAATAAACGAAAAATAAACAGTATATTAAATAAACGGTATATCAAAAACAGTGTATTAAAATTAAACAGTATATCAAATAAAAATTAATGAACCCATATTTAAAGTGAAATTTGGTATTATATAAGATATGAAAAATATAAGAAAGTGATGAAAACAATAGCATAGCAAGAGGGAAAAAAGGCATCTTTATATAACGTGATTTTTTTTTTCGATCACGTAAAATCGAATTAATTATGCAATTTTATCAATTTTATCACAAGACAAAAAAATATTTTGATGATTCGTTATCAATTTTCTTAATTAGAAATTAAACAGTCGATATTGTTCTTTTTTTCTATGAATGATATCTTTAAAGAAACCAGTTTGGAACCAAGTTTGGATTCTAGACCACATAAATCTATGCTGCAATGTATTCTTCTTGGGTATAGTATAAGGTTTTAATCGGTGAAATATATATTGTTAGAAACTTGTTAGAGCCAAATTCGCAAAAACTTTGTGTAAAAAGTTCTGCAATCTATTTTCCATTTATCACCATAGCAATAGAAGTTACTCATGATACAAAAAAACACAGTAACAAACTTATCCTAACAAGATAATATCTCTTTCACCCTATTAAGTGACATATGTTATTTTTTCAATCGCGTAAAATTAAATCGATTACGCAATTTTATCAATTTTATTACAAGACAAAAAAATATTTTGGAGAGTTAATTCATTATTAATTTCCTTAATTAGAAATTAGACAGTCGAAAACATTATATAATACACATCACTCTGGTTATATCAGATGTCATCTTAACCAGAGGCATTTTCATATTAAATATATAGAACCAAATGTTTAAAAAATATTATAGCCAAATGTTGGTATATCCAGATATTGATATAATCAGAGTAACGTGTATAGGCTATTCATGAATATCAATATTGTTCTCTACAAATGATATCTTTAAAGAAACCAGTTTGGAACACCTCTTTTCTTGCAATATATTTTTTTTGGGTATAGTATAGATTTTTAATTAGTAAAATATATATTGTTAGAAACTTGTTAGAGCCAAAATTTTGTGTAAAAGTTCTGCAATCGATTTTCCATTCATCATCAAAGGCGTCATTCATGATACAAGAAATATTGGAATATATAATATCAGTCTAATTACAAATATAGTGCAGGTCACATAATGATGATCATTAATTAAGATTTTTTATAGTGTACTGTAGATCAGTGTTAATTTAATGGATAGGATTTAGGTATACTACCGGTAGTATTTTGTACTCAAATATGATAGCAAATAAAGGTATTTTTCTGCTAACTAATAAAATCATTCAAGCTTATATTACAATAATATATTTTTTGAAAGTTGCGCAACATGTAAAAAAAGTTTGACGTA